CCGATGATATTCTGGGCAATTTTAATGGTTCTCTGTAGAACTTTTTTGTCCGCTACAGAGCTACTCCCAAACCATGCCAGAATGCCATAGGTTAGGACACTCTCAATGATGCTACGATAGTATGACAGAAGTAAATGCTGAGATAAATTTAACTTGCCGAGCATTCTCAGGAAATACAGCCTCTTCTGTGCCTTCTTCATTAGCATGTTGGCATTTATAGTCCATGAGAGGTCCTCTGAGATGTAAGTACCCAGAAATTTAAAACTACCAACTCTCTCCACTTCCTCACCGTTTATGTACAGTGGTAAATGTACATTTCTCTTCCTCCTAAAATCAGTTATGAGTTCTTTAGTTTTTTTGATGTTAAGTGTGAGATGATTTTCTTTACACCAAAGTATCAACCTTTGTACTTCCTTTCTATAAGCAGACTTATTGTTCTTATTTATGAGCCCCACCACTGTCGTATCATCTGCAAATTTAATAGTTGCATTGGTGTTATACAGTGGGGTGCAATCATGTGTGTACAGGGAATAGAGGAAGGGACTTAGCACACAGCCCTGGGGAGCTCCTGTACGTAGTACCAGGGTAGAAGAATGGTGAGATCCCATCCTTACTGACTGTGGCCTATCTGTCAGAAAACCTAACCTACAGGAAAAGCTCAAGTAATTGTTTGGTACTTCTGCCAAAGTGGCAAACCAAGGTTTGCTGCAAAATGAGAAATGGGGGGAGGAATACTGCTTATAAGGGAGAGGTAAACACGGGCCTGTAGGTCCTTGAAACACTCACTGTCTTTCACTTCTGGCTTTAATGTTTCTTTATGGAACTGGAACTGGATATAGATTATATATTAATCCTCTAGCACTTGGGTCTAACTCCCTACTTCATATGCAACGAGCCAGATTGCGGCTCCATCTGTGATGGAATGGAAGGTTGTGGTTGCAGAGCTGTACACTCCTGTTCCTGTGGCACAAGTAGGTGGGGTGAGGGCTGCTCCTGAAATGAAGGATTTCAAAATACACAAACTAAATTGACCCAATGCAAAATTATTCAACTTTGCAGAGAGAAGTTTCCTTCTGAGGAGCATCTGACGTTGTAGCAGCAGGAGCCTATTTCCTATGCAGCAGGTGGTATTCTTTTTCCTGCTTTGCCACATGGCAGAAGCAGCACCAGTCTGTTACAATATAAAGCCAGCTTTAGAATAAACCCAACAGATTTCCTTAATAAGCTCATTGCTATCCTGTAAATAGCATGAAGCACATTCAAAAATGTATAGTAGCTAATTGATCAGGATATCAGATTAAGTAATCCCAGCAAAGAAATCGTGGTTCATTTTAATGAAACTGTTATTTGTAGGTCACATAAAGAAGAATTACAATGAAAAAAACTTACTAAAGTTTCAAGGAGAATAACCTGGAAATGAATTTTCAACCATTTGATTTCTTGGACACCTTTTCCTAGTGAGGTTTGCAGAATTTTTATATTTAATTATGTAATTAAATATTCTTTAATGAAAATTACATAGGGTTGCAGACTGATTATGCTAAAAGGTATATAGAAAATGAACCCTTTTTTTCTCAGAAGGAATTTACAGAATGTATTGAAGGCTTTTACTTGTGTGGCTAAATACAAGTATGTATATATGTATTTATGTATGTAAATACTGAGGAAATAATAGTGGCATGCTTATAGATAGCTGCTAATAACGATGCAACTAGGGCTGCAGTCCTAAGCACAAAACACATTGAGTGAGTGTGCATATGATTGTGCTAGTCATGTTAAATAAATTAATCTGAAATGATTGTATGACCTTCTGGATAGTAAGCACACTTGCTTATGTTGTGTTAGGGACAGAATGTTCTGCTATTTATTTCTGTATTGTTAAAACTTGGCCATAACCCCAATACTATTTGCCAGATGGATACAAGTGAAAATGATTATTTAGTTTTCTTTACCTCTAAATACCAGGTCAAACAGACATAAAAAGAAAATGCACATCTGAATTGTTCAAGCAATTTGGATTGAGAAAAGCTTATGGCAAACACTTTTAAAAGTATATCCTTTTACAGAATATAGGGTTTTTTGTTTTTAGGAAAAAATGAAAATAAATATTGTTTTGAATTTAAAAAAATCTGTTTTATTTTAACAGGTCCATGCATCGTTAAGTGCCTTTGTGAAGTCGCTTGCATGAGAGACAACCTTAATCTTTTTCAAGAGGATCTCTGTCAGCTAGATATCACTCCTACTTCATATCTCGTCTGTAGTGGTTTGCCTGCTGCTTTATGTGAAACTGACTCCAGCATTTGCAAAGCCTGTGGACAACACTGAGTTGGGCATGAAACTTGCTGAATGTATAGCACTCTCTATATAAGCAATGTTGACACAGAGAACACAATGCGCTAAAATGTTATCGAGGAATGTCAGTGCATGAAAACAAAGTTGCTGAACAAATAGTCAAGGAAGGTCACACTTGTTACAACTAGAAATGTTCAGCATGAACATTTTGCATCTCGAAGGTTACAAATCTACATCCATATCAATGGATAATTAACACGTTTTCTGATAAATAGTTGCCTATCCAGCTTTGTGTGTACTGGGCTCTTTAAAGAACTTACTACATTGTTCCTTTGAGCTCCTGTGTTGGAAGAGTTTTCTTGAGTTGAGTTGTGGAATTCATAACCAAAAGCAATTTTGTTAATGGTGACTTTTGTGATACCTAAATCAGTTTTACATCATGGCTTTGAATGTTGCTCCAGTAAGAGACACAAAATGGCTAACATTGGAAGTATGCAGGCAATTTCAGAGAGGGACTTGCTCACGTTCTGATGAGGAATGTAAATTTGCACACCCACCCAAAAGCTGCCAGGTTGAAAATGGAAGAGTTATTGCTTGCTTCGATTCTCTAAAGGTAAGGACAACATTTCCATCTTCTTAGCTGTGGTAAGAAGGGACCATTCAATAAGAGAAGCTTGAAATATTTGAACTAAATACCCATATGTGTATAAGTCCAGTATCTCAAGTTAGGGACTCCAGGGCTTAACAGCTAGGCCAAGGCTGGAACATGTTCCGTAAGACTGACTCTGTGCATTTAGGATACAGACCTGTGTTCAGACCCAGAAGGGAATGTTTGATAATTGGCTGTGGTTAGGACTTGACCTTGAATACTTTATCAGCTATGTGATCATAGCTAAGGTTTATTTCTTTTAAAAAATTAATTGCAACATTCTGGTGCGTCATGAATTTTTTCTGTGAATTACGACCCCCTTACTTACCAGATATATACCGCTGGTGAATATATGTGGAACAGAATTGCCAACTAGCTAAAATGCGACATTCTCTCCATGTAACCACAGAAGGTGCCATTTTAGTTTGGTAGAGATTTACTTTTGAGACTTTGGCCTCTGATCTGGAAATGTTCATCTTCCTTTCCTCTCTGCCAGAAAGATGAATTCACCACAACTCTACAAGAGAATGTGTATATCCAACCTTCTAAAAGGTAGTCTTTTGGGAAAGGGAGGCAAATGACTCACATAAATGGTGAAAAATATTATATATATGAACATAAAGATTTCTTATTATTGGATATGTAGTCCAGTTTTATGTACACAAGAGGATCACCTTTCTACTGTGCTTTGTTCATCCCTAACATTTTCATTTGTGGCAAACCATGGGAACTATGCTAACTCTGAAAACAGATAAACAAACCATACTGGGTATCCAAATCAGTACTGGAATACCAGTTCAATCCATGATTTATACAAATTATAATTTTTGTGTTTTGGGTATAATAGCAAACTATGGTTATATAACAGCAGGAAATTGAGGGACTAGGACCATGAGAAAAGAGAGAGAGATAGGATGAGCCTGAGGTTTTAATGAAGATTTCATATAGTTTGGGAACTACATCCAAACTATGCTAGAGTTAAACTTCCTAAAAATGCTTTTGAATGATGTCTGAATGTATTTATTTACAAATATTTTTTGATATTTATATTTGAATATTCCAAAGCATTGTATGACAGCAATCCAAATACAGTATAAAACAATAATCAAATCAAGATACCTTTACATTATTCCTAACAATACATGGAAAACTAAATTGTATGGACAAGTTCACAGAATGAATAAGTCTGTAATATGTGCCTAAAACTGGTATTTGTTGCTGCATGTCTGACAAAAGAGGAAAGAGTATTTCACACAGTGGGTGCGACCATGCTTGATTCCCTTTGCCAAGTCACTTCAGAGCAGCCTTCAGGAACAGGTGGCAACAGGGGGGTGTCTTCTCCAGATGACCTAGAGAATCAAATGGATTTATTAGAGAAGTTAATATATTTAGATATGTATCTAAGATACCCAGGCTCTTTAGTTGTTTGTTGACTTATTAGAGTTAAATGTCAAGTCTCAGGAGGAACACTTCATAATATCTGCCTTCCTGGTTCATATGAAATATATTTTATTAAAGCTACTGCTCTGTACTCACTTACCTGGGAGTATATCCTATTGAACTCTGGGGCATACTTCTTAGAAGACACTTAATAGGATTTCGCAGCACATCTCATTCACATTAATCTTGATATGAACTGCCCTGTTGTTGTTCCGTTAATATTCTATAGATTTTCCGTAATAAGCTTTAATGCTAAGAAGTTTAGATGAATGCAAGGACACCTAGGCAGGTGTACATGTTTTATGTCACTGCTGTGATCCATGTTCTGCAAACCTCTGGAAGTTAGTATGGCAACATATATTTTTGCAGTGACAAGGCTCGCATATTGATCTTTGTATCTTAAAATATTTATATATTTAGTTGGTCTGAAGAACAGTTGATATTTGAAAGAAAAATAGTATCTTCACAAACAGCATGTAGAAAAAAAAAGCAAATCACTTCAGGAAGACGCTAGCTTTACAGACAATTAGCCCTTCATGCCAACAGTGGGATTATCATTGTGCAATATTAATGACTTTAATCTGTGGATTATTGTATTGAATTGTAATAGCTTTTTTGTATGTGTCAGGACAGTTGAGGTATACATATTTTGATTATTTTGCAGACTCGCTCCTTGCTCATAGTGTACCATGAGAAGCATGTAAGCCATTTGCTTTCGAATCAAGTTTGTCTTGCCACATTATCATATTCCTCTGTAATACCAAAGTTAGATTTACTTGCCTCTCTTACTTAGTGGCAGTTCTCAGGTCCTATATGCTGTGTCCATTTTCAGTTATCTGAACACAGACATTTGTTAGTTTTATGTTCCTGTATAGTACAAGTAAAGAGTTCACACTATATAAAAAGCAAAAGCAAAGCAAAGCGTGCTGCTTATATACCGCCCCATAGTGCTTCAAGCACTCTCTGGGTGGTTTACAATTTAATTATGCAGGCTACACATTGCCCCCCCCCCATTTTACTCATTTTACCGACCTCGGAAGGATAGAAGACTGAGTCAACCTTGAGCCGGCTACCTGGGATTTGCACCCCAGGTCGTGAGCACAGTTTTGGCTTCAGTACAGCGGTTTAACCACTGCGCCACGAGGCTCCTTGCTTGTAATTACCGTATGTTTTTCTTATCAGTAGCATTGTTGGTGCCTCTAGTTCAGGAGTCAGGGAAACTTTTTACCTTTTACCCCCCAAAAATGTATATACACCGACATTGCCCCCTTGAACTGAAAGGAAGGAAATCATACATTATTTGAATTCAAAATCTTATTGAATCTACACAGGCTGTGTACCAAACTAGCAGGATATATCATCAGTATCAATGGCTGCCAGGCTATGTAGCGAGCTAGCAGGATGCACCAAATTTAATAAAGATGTGCACTATTTTTGCTGGAACACATTGCACATCAGCCATGCGATGGTATAGGGAGTAGTAAGGTGTCCAGTGTGCCTAGCAAGTTGTATTAAATTTTTGCTAGCTCGCAGAGGATTTAGTCCTCATCAGTGATTGCCAGAGCGATGCTAGCAATGATGTGCTTGCTAGAGACAGCCAAGGCAGAGTTGGGGGAGGGGGGTTTCCTACCACTTTAATCATTCTGTGTGTGGTGTGCAAAAAGGAACAAACCAGGCTAAAGGTCATGTCATCCACCCTGGTGCCACAGCCCAACATCAAAGGACCAGTACGGTATTTTTTTATTATCTTCAATGGAAAACTCAGCAGTGGCCAGAGGATTAGAAAAGATCAGTCTACTGTACATCCCAGTCCAAAAGAAGGGCAGTGCCAAAGAATGCTCCAACTACCGTACAATTGCACTCATTTCACACGCTAGCAAGGTTATGCTCAAAATCCTACAAGGTAGGCTTTAGCTGTATGTGGAGTGAGAACTCCCAGAACTACAGGCTGAACTTTGAAGGGACAGGAACTGGAGACCAAAATGCTAACATGCGCTGGATTATGGAGAGAGCCAGAGAGTTCCAGTAAAACATCTACTTCTGCTTCATTGATTATGCAAAAGCCGTTGACTGCGTGGCCCACAGGAAACTATGGCAGAACCTTAAAGAAATGGGAGTGCCTGACCACCTTATCTATCTCCTGAGGAATCTATATGTGGGACAGGAAGCAACAGTTAGAACTGGATATGGAATAACTGATTGGTTCAAAATTGGGAAAGGAGTACGACAAGGCTGTATATTGTCTCCCTGCTTATTTATATGCAGAATACATCATGCGAAAGGCTGGACTGGATGAATCCCGAGCCGGAATTAAGATTGCCGGAAGAAATATCAACAACCTCCAATATGCAGATTTCTGCCACTTTGATGGCAGAAATTGAGTAGGAGTTAAAGAACCTCTTAATGAGGGTGAAAGAGGAGAGCGCAAAAATGATCTGAAGCTCAACATAAAAAACAAACAAACAAACAACAACAGAAAACAAAAAGCCCTAAGATCATGGCCACTGGCAAATAGATGGGGAAGATATGGAGGCAGTGACATATTTTATTTTCTTGGGCTCCCTGATCACTGCAGAAATTAGTTAATTAAAAGACACCTGCTTCTTGGGAGGAAAGTGATGACAAACCTAGACAGCATCTTCAAACGCAGAGACATCACCTTACCGACAAAGGTCCACATAGTCAAAGCTATAGTTTTTCCAGTAGCGATGTATGGAAGTGAGAGCTGGACCATAAAGAAGGCTGACCACCGAAGAAGTGATGCTTTTGAATTGAGGTGCTGGAGGAGACTCTTGAGAGTCCCCTGGACTGCAAGGAGAATAAACCTATCCATTCTGAAGGAAATCAACCCTGATTGCTCACTGGAAAGACTGATCCTGAAGCTGAGGCTTCAGTACCTTGGCCATCTCATGAGAAGAGAAGACTCCCTGGAAAAGACCCTGATGTTGGTAAAGAGCGAAGGCAAGAGGAGAAGGGGATATCAGATTACGAGATGGTTAGGCAGTGTCATTGAAGCCACCAATATGAATTTGACCCAACTTTGGGGGGCATTGGAAGATAGAGGGCCTGGTGTGCTCTGGTCCATGGGGTCACGAAAAGTCAGACATGACTTAAGGACTAAACAACAACATTTATAAAGCTTATTTAGTACCATGAAATCCTGGACTTGTTTCCTCCAAAGTAAACCACCCTCAGAAAAGCAGCTATATATAGTAGTGCAGACTTTTAATACACTGTTTATACACTACATAAAGTGCATAGACACATTTCACTTATTTGAAATGTAGTGTTGGGAAAGAGTTTTACAGATAGCATGACTTGTCAGAGAGATAAGTAAAGCAAATTAAGCGTGGACTCTCACTAGAAGCTAAAATAACCAAACAAAGGGTATTGTACTACAGTGGCATCATGAGAAGACATGCTCACTGGGAAAGGCAGCAATGAAGAAAAAAGTGCAATGCAGTAGAAAAAAAAAGAAAGAATGCACATGAGATGGATTGACTCAATAAAGAAAGCAACAGTCTTTGTTTGTAAGATCTTTTGTTTGGTGTTGCAGTCAAAGCAGGACCAGGAGCAGAGAGACAGGGATTCAGATTTGGGGAATAAACTACGATACTCTTGCCTGCTTTGGAGATGAGAAATAGAGAAATGCAATTGCTGCACACTTCAGACATCTAGTCCGAGGTGTGTTGGTTGTCTTTTACTAGGTGTTTGCTGTTAGTGGGACTCTTCTAAATATTCCGGTTCTGCCCAGTACAAATTCAGTGTCTAAACAGAATCTTGAAGTACTTGCTCTTCTCAGCAGAAACTGCAGAACTAAATGCAGTGAAGATTAAATTTAGAAGGTTGCTTTTTTCATGGTTTCATGAAAGAGTCATCTCTCTCTCTCTCTCTCTCTCTCTCTCTCACACACACACACACACACACACACACACACATACAGAGAGAGAGAGAGAGAGAGAGAGAGAGTTTAAATTTTCAACAATCAGTTGCTTCAGTTCGGTATGTCTGTTTCCTCTCATTACATTTAAACAAGCTTGATTCATATTGCACAGACTATAGGTTAGATAGGAATGCAGAGATGTTGATTAATCTGCAGTTCTATGGGCCTTTCACAGCATAATATCACTTCTATTTTTTTAGGTGTTCTGGAAACACTCTTAATTTTTCTTTTTATCATTTCTAGTTGTTTGGAGCAGGTGTGAAGTACAGTTGCTGATAATCTGCCTTCTAAATGCTGAAAAAATGCAGGAAGTAGTGATATGTCACAAAGTGATATATGATGACCTTTGTAATTATACAGAAATAAAGATGGATAGCCTTCGTATCTTTAGGGGCAGACTTTCTCCTGTTTCCTGTGCAATGAGGGAAGTAAACTTTTTGTGTAGGAATTATTCTGGAAGAGACAGCACCTTATGAATCCCACTTCTAGAGCATTTCCAGAGCTGGCTCTAAATATTATATATTGCATATATTATACAGTGTGGCTACACTTAAAGTTTTACCTTGCGTAATCAGAGTGTGCTGCAAGGAGGGGAGGCTTTCTTCCTGGAAGCACGGCACATAGGAGGTTTCTCCTCGTGCTTTGTAATCTGCACCAGAAATATGTTTTAGTTTATCAGCTCAAATGTATATTGGTTCCAGGGGTGGATTTAGCACTTCCACTGCCTTTCTTATTTTGGATTGGGGGGTGGAGTGGGATAGGGGAATCAACAGCATGCTAAGTGAATTCATGTTCTTTGGGGATGAGAAAAATAATGAAGTTATGTGAGGATATGCATGTATCTTACTCTGGAAAAAAAATTCCTCGAAACTTGGCATGTTTGTATTTACTAAATACTATAAGAGAATATGAATACATGAGTAGTATTTTGATTTTATCTTCTGGTATTCATCTTCCTTAGAAAGCATTTTTGTTTTTGCTTTCTTATACATTGGACCCTCTACTTACAGAATTAATCCATATTGGAATGGTGGCTGCAGGTCGAAAAGTCTGTAGGTCGAGTCTCCATTGACCTACAATGCATTGAAAACCGATTAATCCCATAACCGGCTGTTTTTGTTCTATTTTCGTTCCATTTTGGTTTTTTCTGTTCTGTAGGTCGATTCTCTGGCTGCAAGTCGAATCTAAATTTTGTGGCCAGAAAAGTCTGTAACTCGAAAAGTCTGTAAGTTTAGCTGTCTGTAAGTTGAGGGTCCACTGTATGCCTTGCTTTACGATTGCCCCGCATTACGACAAAACCGCTTAACGACAATCTTTTTGCAATCGCACTTGCAATCGCAAAATGATGGTCTGAATGGGGGAATTTTGCTTTGCGGTGATTGGTTCACTGCTTCAGGAACCGGTTCTTTGCAAAACAACGTTTTTTGAACAGCTGATCAGCGGTTTCAAAATGGCCCCTGGGTGATTAAAATGGCTCCCCACTGTGTTCAGGGACAGATTCCTCGCTATACAGGCAGCGAAAATTGGCGCCATATGGAGGATCTTCACTGGACGGTGAGTTTTTACCCCATTGGAACGTGTTGAACAGGTTTCAATGCATTTCAATGGGGTTTTTATTTTTGCTTTACGATGTTTTCACTTAACGGCATTTTCCTGGAACGGATTATCGCCGTTAAGCGAGGCACCACTGTACCTAATTCTGTGTGCATAAAATGATTTCCAGAAAAGGACATGCCATTATTAGGCAGGACATGCACATTGGAAGTTATTGAAAATATTATGATAACATGTGACAGAAAACATGAAATTTTTAATGCAGGAATGGGCAACGCGTAGCTTGTAGGCTGTATCGACTCTGCAAAGCTCTGTCACAGGAAAAATAGTATTAGATTTTAAAGAATGTTTTTAAAAACCACAATGGAATCTAATAAATTTAGCAGATCACCCTCATCTTCACTTCTTTGGCTTTTCCTGTTCCTCTTTTTTCTTATTATAGTGGTTAAATTACGTGTTGGCTGCCAAAGCATATGCATGCTGAATTAGCCACTCATCAGTATGAAATGCCTCAATTGTTTGTGGATGCACTCAGTTTTTCACACTTCTCTGTTTGAGTTATACTTCTGATCTGAATTGGTAACTATCTGGTCATTTTCTCACTTCTAGTCTTGCTGGTAAGAGGGCTGTTTGAGAAACAGAGAATCACATGATTATCTGTTGCTGCTTCTGTGTTTTTTCTCTGTCGTTTACCAGAGGAAGTGCAATGTGGGACAATTTTTAAAATAAATTCAGAGAAAGCGTGGGAGTGAGGATTCTGTTCCAAAACAATTCTTAAAAGTAATTATGGATTTTGTTATGAATTTATTGAGTAGAAAGTAATTAATTAAAGAAAATTAAAAGGAACACATCTCCAAATTAATTCTTGATATAAATTATGAGTGTTAAAATATGTAGCAGTGTTATTTAAATAAGATTTTTGTTGAAAAGGGGAAGCCATAATGAGGGAGAACTGTTTTAACATTTTAAACATATATTTTAAATTTTAACATTTCCATATATGTGTGTGTGTTGTAGCAAACTTCACATAAAACTGTGCTTTCAAACAAATGTTAACATATTAAATAAGTACACAGATTACCTTTTTTGGTCAGGCCCCTTTCCTTCAGCTCTTGCTCCTTTAGAGATACTGTGCTCAGGCTGCTGATGAATCTGAAAAATGGCCTTTAAGATCAGATCACCCACTCCTGGTTTAAAGCTATATTACTTTGTTTTTACTATCAAATAAAACAGTTTACGGAATAATCCAGAAATAATGAAGCAGTTGATGAACACTAGGGTCAAACATATTTTTCTGATTTGAAAGGTGGTTTTAAAAATTGTTTAACTTTGAAAAGATAACATATAAATCAGACCTGGTTTAGTAGTTCTTAACATCTGTATAATGCTTTCAGATCTTCAAAGTACTTTGTCTGCTTTATCTAATTGGTCAGTATTTGTGATGGACAGGTCAGTAACCACTCCTGTCCATCACAATGGAACCCTGATTTAGTAACCAGTGGTTGAACAGAAAGGACAGAACCAGGGAAGTATAAGAAGAGAACGGAAGACAGTTGAAGTTCAGTTAGGGAGTTCTGTTAGAGATATCAGTTGAGGGTTTCAGTTAGGGATGTGTTAGAGTTAGAGTTAGGATTTCAGAGGTTAGAGAAAGAGCTAGATAGTCAAAGTTAGAAGTGGGAATAGTAACAAGTAAATGCACAAGTTGATTGAATGGCAAATAAATAAACAAAAGAAGGCATTTCAATGATTGTGATTCTGAGCAAATAAAGAACATCTGTAACTTTAATAAAAACTTCCAGTGCTTGACAGCTAGTGTTTGAGTGAAATAATTTACATTGTGGATAAAAGAAATCCACTGGTGGCAGCGGAAAAGAGTGAAAATTAAATGTCATGCCCCAAAGTGAACCTGGGCGTGTAAAAGAACAAACAGGGGAACTGGGGTGTGTGTAGAAGAACAAACAGGGGAACTGGGTTTTATGTCACAGTATTATTACCTGTGTTTCAGATGTGGGGTGGGGAAGAAGTTGAATCAGAATAGATAATATCATGCCTGAGGTCACATAGCCAATTTTCCTTGGAAAGTACATAGCTTAGGGGTGTTTTTTTGATCCAGTTTTGTCACTTGAGGGCCAGGCAACTGTGATGACTAGGAATGTCTTTTTGGCTGTTTTGACAGGTATGAACAGGGAGGGAAAGTATCTTCACTAAAGTTCTTGTTCTCATTGATTTAGACTGTCTCACTACAGCAGTGAAGGACATTCAAGCCCCACAGGATTCTTTCCTCCAGCAGAAGAGCGAGACAAAGAGTATCTTTCTGCCTGTCCGGGTTTTTGCAGTTTATGCATAATGGCTCAGGCAGTCTAAATAAGGCTAGAGTTTTTTTCCCTTTAAGTAATAAAGAATTCTCCCTAATTTGCCAAGACCTTGGAATTCAACCAAAACAATAAAATGATACTAAACAAAGTCTCTGAGTTCTCTTACCTGTAGTCCCCTCCTTTTAAAAATATATTAATTAAAAAGACACTTTAAAAGGTATTTAAATAGAACCGTCATGAAATGGCAAAATAAAAGCTAGATAAAACAAAGCAGCAGAAAAAAGTGAAACGCTGCAGCCGCACACTACCAGAGCTGGAACTGGAAGCCTCTCCACTCCACCCAGAACACATAGAGCCAAGCACAGAAGGACAAGCTGATTCTCCTCTCTTCTAAGGAACTGTCCAGTACCTTCAGATTTTCAAAAAGTCCATGAAACAAAGTATAGCAGCTATTCGGATTCTCTTCAGTGTGTGCTGATTACATTACGACCACAAGTTATACGTAAGACCACTCTAGGTGGTAGGTAGGTAAACAAGGATCTAAATCCCTAGTTATCAGTGCCCCTGGTTAGGGAGGGTTTATCCAGACCTGAATGGTTGGGTGCCCTTGAAGATGGCCTAGAAAACATCAGCTAGTGAAGAATATGGCAGCCAGAATTGTTGCCTGTACAGCCAGGCAGAATTGTATCCCACCAATTCTGAAGGGGCTGCACTGTGTGCTTTTGAATGTCATCGGACCCAAATATCTGCAGGAGCACCTCCTGCGACTTCAAGATGTAGGGGAAGGCTCTTTCGAAAGTACCACATTTGCAGTGCTTACAGGGAAAAGAGGATTTGTTTTGGTAGTGCTCGAATTCGCATAGCGATCCCTTTTCCGGGATCGCTAATGCGAAGGCATCGCATCGGCCCCAATGGGCGAAATTCGCATAGCGAAGATTGGTAAGCCTTTCGCTTACCGACCTTCGCTTTGCGACCCGCGGATCAGCTGTTCAGTGGGTCCAAAATGGCCACCGGAACACCCAAAATGGCCGTGGGCAGCGTTTTCGCACCCTTGGTAAGTGAGGGGAGGGTGTGAAAACGCTGTGCGCGGCCATTTCGGGTGTTCCGGTGGCCATTTTGGACCCGCCGAACAGCTGATCCGCGGTCTCGCTGTGGCCGAAATGGCCGCGCGCAGCGTTTTTGCGCCCTCCCCTCGCTTACTGAGGGTGCAAAAATGGCTGCCGGACCCCGAAAACATCGCTGTACGTT